TACAAATCATAAACAATCTAAAACAAATTATTTCTTTGTTTATAATTTCAATATCATTACTGAACTTCAACCAATTTTCTAAATAAAAGTCCATATAAAACTTATAAAATTTATTATACTAACAAAGCCTTTTAATCTGTATTTGAATTCTTTTTAATTTAATAATAATCGTATTATTTTCAACACAAACTAAATGAAAAATTAAATCATCAACTATGCCGTATAGTCTGAATGGACCTCCTATTATAAAGATAGACATAACTTTGAAAAGTGTTTTACTTTATATAAACGAAATTACTTTTTTAATTTTAAAAGAAATTTACTCAAACAATAAAACTAACATTACTGCCGCTTTCTTTAAGGGAAATATAATACTTTATTTTTATTTTTCCCTTAATGGGAAAAAAGAATAAAACAATACAAGTTATTCTTTCATTCAATTTTAAAATAGGATTATTGGTTTTACTATTTACCTGAAATTAACTTTTAATATTTTTTGAGATACCAATAAATCTAAATTGTTAATCTTTTTTTTATTTTTTATTTTTATATAAACTATTTTTAATTAACAAAAAAACTAAAAAATAAAAAACCATAGAAAACCCTAAAACTAGAACAAAGTTGCATTAATGGCTGAAACCGTCGCTCAACCAGTTGAGGCTGCACCAACTTTTGCACCAAAACTTTTCAACAAATGGAGTTATGATGTTACCGTTAGTGATATTTCACTTAAGGAGCTCCTTGCCATTAATAGTAAGCTTAAGTATCAAGTCTTCCTTCCACACACAGCTGGAAGATATCAAATTAAACCATTCAGAAAGATTCAATGTCCAATTGTTGAAAGATTAGTATGTTGTATGATGCAACATGGAAAGAATTCAGGAAAGAAACTTCTTGCTATGAGAGTTGTTGAAGAAGCCTTTGAAATCATTCATTTATTAACTGAAAAGAATCCAATTCAAGTATTAGTTGATGCTATCATTAATGCATCCCCAAGAGAAGATTCAACTCGTGTAGGAACAGGAGGAAATGCTAAGAGACAAGCTGTTGATGTTTCACCATTAAGAAGAATTAATCAAGCCCTTTATTTAATGACTATGGGATGTAGAAATGCTGCATTCAGAAACTCTAAAACTCTTGCAGAGTGTCTTGCTGATGAAATTGTCAACGCATCTAAATCTAACACTGCTTCATTTGCCATTAAGAAGAAGGAAGATATGGAACGTGTTGCTAAATCTAACAGATAAAAACTACTACACTCAATTGATTTTTGGTGTGATAATATTTGATTTTCGTTTAAGAATGTATGTATGATTAATATTTATGAAAAGAAGATATGATTCAATCTGTTTGTTCATTATAATTTTTTTGATTATTTTATGATTAGTTTTCAAGTTCAAAATAATGAAAAGAAAGTCTTCAGGAGAAATACAAGCACTAAAAGCATCTATTCAATTTATTGATACAGGTTATGTTTGTATTGAAATACTTAAATTAATAGAAAATAAAGGATATAGTTCAGTAAGTATTTGGTGTGATAAAGAAATTAAAGAAATAAAAATTATTGTAAATGGAATTCAAATTGATGAACAAGAAATAAATACATTATTAAATGAAGATATATTTAAAGAATTGAATAATATTAGTAGATGTACAATATTGACAACTCTTTTATCTCAAGAAGAATCAATTAGATATATTTATGAAGTTTGTTATTTTAATAGATTTTAAAAGAAATTAACAATAAAGAATGGAAAATGGAAAAGTGAAAGTTTAAAAGAATACCAATTAAATAAACAATTAATTGTTTATCTTGAAAGATTATTTGAAAATACACCAGAAAGAAAAGAAACAATCAGTAAAATTATTCAAAATATTATTGGATATCATATTATTCATTATAAAAAAGTAATAGAAATTAAATGGAATAATGAAACATGTTGTTTATTAAATTCACAAGAAACAATGAAAAAAAGTTATGAAAATATTTTTCATTATCAAATGAAAGAATTTTCAACATTATATTCATTTAATTCAATAACAATTTATGGATTACGTTATTTATCAAAAGATATGAAATGGAATAATACAAAAGAACATTATATAATTATGGTAAATGATTATTTAATATGTCATAATTCATTAAATCAAATGATTAATCAAATTCATTGTAAATATTTTAGTATTCCACAAACACATATTTTAACACCTCCTTTTTTCCTTCAAATAAAAATTCCATTATTTCATCCACAATATCCATTATATTTTGAAGATGAAAATAATTTGTTATTATGGATAATTAAATTCCTCTCAAAAGAATTTTTTCAAGAAATATTGATATTACCTCCACCAATTATACAATATCCATTTTATTCACATATTCAATTAAAACATCCAAAATCATCTCCTCCATCTCCAAAAAAACAGAGAATTTTTGCATTAAGTTATTCAATTCAAGGAAGAAAAATTAAAGAGAAAGAAAAAATTAATTTACCACAAATGAATAAAACAAAATATAGAATGAATAAATATAAAGAATCTAAAAGTAGAATAAGTAAAAAAACAATATATTCTATTGCTATACCTTATTTAAATAATAATATTATTTCATTAGATGAAAATATAAAATATTTTAATCATATAATACCATTAAATAAAATTACAAAAGATGATATAAAAAAGATTCAAGTAATTGGACAATTTGGTAAAAAATTTATAATTTGTTTAAATAAAACAAATGGATTACTCTATGGGTTTGATCAACATGCTGTTCATGAAAGAATTCTATTTGAAAAAAATTGGAAAATGTTAGAAGAAGAAAAAAGTAATTATCTTCAATCATTTCATTGTTCATTAAATATAATTGTAAATTCATCTCAATTACAAATATTACAAAAATATAAATATCAATTTAATAATTTAAATATTAATTATTCTATTCAATATAATAAAATATATTTTAATTCTTTTCCAATTCTTTTTGGAAAACAAATTACTTGCTCAGAAATTATGGATATTGTAAATCAAATTGATATCTCTAATGAATTTCCACCAATTAAACATATTTCAATTATACGTCATATTGTAGCATCACAATCATGTAGAAATGCTATTATGTTTAATGATATTTTAACATTAGAAGAATGTCAAAAATTAATAAATCAATTATCACAATGTTCATGTCCATTTATATGTGCACATGGTAGAATAAATGTTACACCATTATATGATTATATCAATTTAAATAAATAATAAATAATAAAATTTTAAACAAACATTTTAATAGAAAAAAAAAAAAAAAAAAACTTTAAGAATTTATGATTGATACAACAATACTTACTGATGAAATTATTAGAGGGAAAACACCAACAGAATTAAATGATGGACTTGATCCAGAAGAAGAACAACAATGTTATCAAGGAAAATCAATAACAAAAGATGGAATATATATTGGAACATATAGTTTTTTTATTTGGTTAGGATTGATTATTGCATCATTTCTCTTTATAATTTGGCAATTTGTACCTAGAAAAATAGCATATTCAATTGGATTAGAACCATTTTTTATATTAATGCCTGATCAGTTTGTTTATGATTAAAAAAAAAAGAAATAAAGAGAAATTCATAAATAGATATTGGACATTAGTTATTCCAGCAGGATTTGTTATGGGATTCTTTTGTATTGTAATAGGATATTATGGAGTGATGGAGTTTTTTGTAGTTGATCCAAGAAGTCCATATTCATACACAGATGAAAGAAAAACAGAAGTAACAAAAGGAGAAGGAGAAAATAATAAAGGAGAAGAAAGTATTCCAGCAATAGAAGATTGTGAAGTAAATAAAATATCAGAAATGATATATTCATAAAAAAAAAAGGAAAAAAATTAATTTTTAATAAAAATTTGTTTTTAAAAAACAAAAAAAAAAGAAGAAAAAGAATAAAAAAAAAGATAATAATTTTAGTAAAAAGAGAAATAGGGTTGAAAAGAACTGAAATAGTGTCAAATCCTCGAGGGAAATGCCAAGATTATTGAAGAAAACAGAACACGTTGTTATTCCAGAAGGAGTTAATATTGAAATCAATAGAAAGAATATTAAAGTTACTGGACCAAGAGGAAGTCTCACAAGAGAATTTCAACATCCAAAAGTAGATATTTATGCTAGTAAACTTGTTGTAAAGAAGGAAGGACCAAAAGAAAATGTAATTGTTATTGATATGTGGTATGGAAATAGAAGAGATTCAGCTGTTGTTAGAACTATTGCATCACATATTAAAAATATGATTACAGGAGTTACTAAAGGATACCAATATAAGATGAGAGTTGTATATGCACACTTCCCAGTTACATTAGTTATTGCTGATGATGGTAAATCAATTCAAGTCCAAAATTTCCTTGGAGAAAAGAGAACTAGACATATTGAGATGTATGAAGGAGTTGTTGTTAAGAAACTTGGTAAAGATGAAATTTGTCTTGAAGGAAATGATGTTGAAAAAGTATCACAATCAGCAGCTAATATTCATGCAGCTAATCTTGTTAGAAACAAGGATATTAGACAATTCCTTGATGGAGTTTACGTCTCAGAAAAATGTCTCATTGAAAACGATGCCTAAATTGAGAGGATTTAATGATGTTTTTTGTTATTCTTCTTTGTCTTTTTTTGATTTATTATTATAGATAAAATAAACTTTTAAATAAATAATAATATTTTAATAATAATTTAATTCTTTTATTTAAATTTTAAATTATTAAATTCTTTTTTTTTTATTTAATAATTTTAAAAAAAATAATTAATTAATAAATAATTAAATTGAAAAATACTTATAATATATTAATTATTAAATTTAATTATATTTTATTTGATTAAAGAATATTAAAAATTTATTATAATTGAAATAAGAAATTTATTATTTAAAAATAATTAATTAAAAATTATTAATTTATTAATTTAATTATTTATTTAAATTACTTTTTTTTTTTATTTTCTTAAGTTATAATTTTATTTAATTTTTAAATAAATAAGTAATTGAAATAAAATTTATTATATTTTTATTTTTAATTAATATTAAAAACAATCATCAATTATTTTTCATTCTCTTCTTCTTCTTCTATTAATTTTGCATTTTCAAATTGTTTTGGATAAAAAAGTCCATAACTATAAGGATGCATAAATCCAGTGTATTTGTTTGGGACATATTTTTCCTTCTTTTTTTCAATTTCTTTTTCAACTTCAATAATATTTTGATGTTCTTTATCTTTTAATGTTTTATTTTCTTTAATAGAATATTTAAAACCTATTGGATTTTCTTCATATACAACAGTTTGTTTTTTCATTGGAGGTTCAATTATATTTAAATATTCTTGTTTTTCTTCTTTTCTTTCTTTCATTATATTTTTAATTTGTTGAACATATTGGGATGCAATAGATTGTTCTTCAATAGCTTTAGCTATAGGATTTGGATCATCATATGCCCATCTAATATTTATTCGTTCATTAGAATCTAAATTTTGATCTGACATTGCTACTTTTGCAAATTCTGCACTTCCTCTTAATTTATATCTTATAAATGCAATATTTCTTATAGGAAGAACACGAATATATTCTAATTCTCCCCATTCTCCAAAATGTCTTCTTAATATTTCTTCAATTTCTTGAGGTGGTAAATTCCCTTTAAATCCAGAAACATATAATGTTCTATTTTCTTTTGAAAATTTCCCAATACCTCCCATATCTTCTCTTTCTGTTAAATGTCTTTCTCTACCAAATATATCTTTAATAACTCCTAAATGTTTTTCATCTTCTTCTTGTGGAAGTTGATGTTTATATGGACATTCTTTTCCTTTAAAACATTTTCCTAATGCAAAATGAAGACATATTGGTGAATTTTCTTTACTTTTTGTTGTTCCTGCATCTGTTTTAATACAACATCGTGTCATATTCCCTCTATCTCCTCTTGTTTGTTTACTTTCAAATCCACTATATCTATTATACCAAATATTATAATCTCCACTTCGAGTAGGTGTATATGGTACATATCCATCACTTTGTTTTCTTGCTGGTCTATTAGTGATTACTTTATATGAATATTCTTTCTCATCTTTTACTTCTTTTTCTTGTGTTTGATTATTTTCCATTTTCAATTCCTTTTTTTTTTTTTTGAAGTTCTTTTTTATTTCAAATAACAAAAAAAAAATTATTCTAATTATTGCTTTATGATTTATTAATTTTCTTTTTCTTTTCTATTGTTAATGATTTTAAGAATGTTTGAATTGATCTTTCTACCTTTTTTGTTCCAATAATTGGTGAATGAAAGACTCTCCAAATACTTTCTACTTTCTTTGGTCCAATATTTTTACTCTTTTTCAATTCTTCTTTATCAACTACTCCAATTCTCTTTATTGTCTATTTTATTATTTTTTTTTTCATGAATTGTTTATTTCAAATAAACAAACATTAAATTTCATTAATAAATCATATGCATTTTGTGAATTTATCCCTTTAATCATTGATAATGCATTTATTATTTGTGTTCTTTCATTTATTTGATTAGTTAATTCATTTTGATTATTCTCTATAACACTAAATTCTTCAATATAATGAGCAGCATCAGAATAACTTTGTGCAATAATTAATGTACATTTTTTATTAAATAATTTTATATTGATGTCTTGTATTATTTCTTCTTTTATTTCATTCTTTTGACAATCTATAACAAATAATACAATATTTAAATATTCATTACTTTGTTCAATTAATGGAAGAATACATTCTTCAAGGTATTTTATGTTTGTACTATGATATTTGTATGTTAAATAAAATATTTTATTCATATTTCCAACAATAAAATCCCCTTGTTTAATTCTTGAATCATATTCAATTCTCTTTCTAATAAAACTTATCAATTTATAATTCTTCTTTTGAATAGGATTAGCTTTAATATCATATTTTGTTTGTTTGTTTATGGGATATCTTTTATTCATTTCGATTTTATTGTTTGTATTTAAAAAAAAATAATAAATTTAATATTTTTTTTTTCTTTTTTAAATGATTTATTATCAAATAAACATCTACTTCTTATCATCATTCAAATCTGATCAATAATTCGAATAGATTTGCTTTGGTACTATAAAATTATAAGTTATGGTATTTAAAGAAAAAAAAAGAGAACAAACATTGTGTTTTCAAATATAAAATTGTTGGATAATCAGAATATTTTATTCCATCTAATCCACATAAATCATTAATTGATATCCTAGCATATCCCATTTCTCCCCATGAATTCCCCCATGAATTTCTAATAATGATATATTTCTCTTGATTTTCTTCTCCATATCCAACAACAATGATTGCATGATTAAGTGTTGGAACAACAGGACAATTTAAATGTAATATCCCACCTGAATATTTTCGTAATTGATCATTACTATAAATCATTCCAATAAATGGTCCATGTTCAATGAGTAAAACTTTTATTTGTTCAAAACTAATTGATCCAATCACTTCTTTATAATCACTAATATGTATTCTTGTTCTTCTTCCTCTAATACACTCTTTTTTGTAATTGTTTGTTGAATTCCCATTGATAGTAATCAATCGGTATGGATATTCAATTTCTGAAACAAAATATTGAAGAGATTCTAAGACACTTGTAGGCCATCCTCCACTACATCCATTGTTATTTGAACAATCAATGATTTGTTGTGTGCTGAATGCTTGATGTCTTAATGTTAAATGGGTGTAATGTGCTTGTAAAACTTGTGCTAGTGCCATTGCATAACACCCACCACATTCTCCTTGATTCATTGTTTGTTTTATACAATAATCTTCAATTTTATGTGGATTTCGTTTACGATAAGTACCACAATAAGATAATGAAGATGGAATTTCTTTTAATAAAAATGGATAGAATGTATTATTTTTTTGTAATCTTGTTGGTATTTCATTAGATGAAAGAGGTCGAATACTTTTCTTTGGAAGTAATCCATAGAATGTTGGAGATTCTTGTGAAAAACTCTTACAAAGAACAATTAATAAAATTAAATTCATTTGTTTCTTCTGAATTATCAAATCTCATTTACCATTTTTATAAAATGATAAAAGATAAGATTGAATCTTTTTTATTCTTCTTATCAAACTTATGTTTCAAAGATTAAAACTTTTATTATTAATATGATTATGTTATGTTTTAATAATATTAAAGAATAATTTTATAAAATTCTGTGATGAATAAAAGACTTATGTTATCTACTATTTTTTCTATACTTATCTTTTGAATGTTTAGATTCATTTATTGATATTTATTGTGAGTAGAAATGATAAATAATTTAAGTTATTGACTGTTCTTTAAGATTGTCCTTCCACTTTACTTCTGAAGTAAACTCTTCAAGACATATTTTATTACAATCTGTTGTTATATTGTTTTTATATCATTAAATGAAAATCTTTTCCACCCTCAGGGTCTGTAGATTTCATTTGTTCTTTATGTAAATAAAACAAAAGAGTATTTTAAGAATAAAGTTGTGGTATAATTTGAAAGAATAACAGTTTTGATGAGGTATTGAGTTTGTCTAATTTTTTGGTGTTGATGATATTATCTCATTGGTGTTGTGAAATTAATGACTCAACATCAAAAAATGGGAACCTTATCTGTTTGGCTTGAAGTATATCTAGTCAGTTATAGCACAATTAATCTTATGAAGAAGTGGGTTTTAGGGTTATTCTTTGAGTGTTTTTTGACTATTTTAAAATTTGTGATGAAAAAAATAAACAAATTGCTAGATAAAGAACACTGTAGTGATGCAATCCTAAAATTACTGCACATTTCTCTTATAAGCCCATGCTTATTACCCCTATTAAACTCACAAACACTAAAAAAAGATGACACAAGTAATAAACATGCAAGTAAGTGGACAAGTAGCTAGAGAAGTTTCATGGCTCCAAGCATCAGTCCAAGAAGTGTTACTACAATACCAATACTATTTAGAAAGTATCAGAGATGAGAAGTTTCAAGTCGAACCAAATGAACCAATTGAACAAGCAATCAAAAGGGGAGAAGGGGTATTTGATAGATTAGACGAGGTGGAACGAAGAAGGAAATTAGTATTAGAAAAGGGGAAAGAAGCTATGCAAGGAAGTGAACATGTACGGACTGTCATAGAAGGGATACTAATTAGATGTAAAAAAGATGAAGAGGTAGTAGGGAAGTCAATGAACAAACTAGTAAGGAAAATCATTGAACTTGAGAGAAAGAAAATGGTAGCTCTCATAAAGCCATTTAAAGCACAGATTGATGCAATCAAAAAACAATACAATTCAAAGAAAGAAGAGTGGGAAACACATCTTAATGTTTATGTAGAAAATAAAATAAAAGAAGAAAAAAGAAAGAGGAGAGAAGAGAAAAAAATGATGAGGCTACAAGAAGAGTTCAAGAAAAAACAAGAAGAAGAGTTCAAGAAGAAACAAGAAGAAGAATTCAAGAAAAAACAAGAAGAAGAAGCCAGGAGAAAAGAAGAAGAAGAAAGTAAAAAGCAATGCCATCAAGAATCAGAAGAACAACTAAGGATTAAAGAAATGAAACAATTTGAAGAATGGACAAATAGAAAAGTTGGAAGTATTTTATTTGATTCATATGTTAATGATTGGAATCAACGAACATCTGTTTGTGACAAAATGTTAATTGGGAAAGAACACGTTTTGTTCGTTATAGAAGATACAGATGGAAATAAGTTTGGAGGATATATTAATGCTAAAATCAATGTGATTGGGAATTGGATTAAGGACCCCAAAGCATTTTTGTTTTCACTAAGGTCTAATGGTAGATTAAATGGTATGACGAAATTTACTTTAAAACAAAACCAAAAAGCCTTCAATCTGGGAACTAAATCTGATAACTTTTTATTCTTGCTTGGGGAGAAATCTGATATTCGTGTATGCAAAGGCAATAATAAATCAAAGTCTTATTGCAGTCAAAACTCATTCAACTATAATGGAATTAACAATGCACTTTGTGGAAAAAGTATGTTTACACCAAAAAGGATTGTCATTTCTCAGATGCTTTAAAATAAATGAATTTAAGTATTTTGTTTTTCAACTTATTAAATGTTTATAAAACTTATCTACAACACATCAGAAATGATAAAATCAATTAGCTGTCATAAAAAGTTAATGAACAGGTTTAAGTGAAGTTCATTTTACTCAATTTCATATATTAGAATTATTGTTATTTTGCATATACCTAGTAAGACGTATGAACTAGTAAATAGAACAAAACTTGACTCAGTTTATTTGGTGTTGCTTTTGTTAATTTTAAATAAGGTTATGTAGAATAGTTGTGTTGTTATTATTTTATTTTTATTAAATACAAACTTGTATGTATTGTATGGACAAATAAGATAAATAATGGCACTAACTTCATAACCAATTTTACTGTGTCATAGATACAATGATTTGTTTCATTGCTGATAAAAATGAACAAATGAATCAAGATTAAAACTCAAGTAGAATTTATTCAGAATTTTTAATATAAGGTTCAAGATGTTGTTGAATCTTCTTGAGCATATCTTCATCAAATCCTAAATTCACAAATACTTTCATTTTTTCAAGACGTTCTCCGGTATCTTTTTTAACAATATCAACTTCAACAAGACCACTTCTGTTAACTGTTGTTTTGTAAATCATTTTAAATTCACCTGCCTTTAATCCAGGTGGAAGTTCTACTGTTACTTCAGTAACAAGTTCCATTCCTTTGTCGTTTGTCTTTCTCCCTTCTCCTTTATAAATTGTATTTGTAATACTTCTTTGATTATCAAATGCATTAGAATAGATGTTTTCAAAAATAATTGGTAATTTTTTTCCTTTTGATGCAAAAATACTAAAACTATCATCAACTAATCCAAACCCAAGTGTATATGGCATTACCTGTGTTATATTATCTTCTTTATTTATTGATATTTGATGTGCTCTATATGCTGCTCCTTTGACAACACTTAGATACCCATCAGAGCCAAATCCAATAATTTTGTTCTCTCCAAACATATCACAAATTGTTTTTCTAACAAGTGGGATACAGCACGAACCACCTATTGGTAAGACATAATCTATATCATCTATATTCCAACTAGAACACCCCACTACATTTTCTATACATTGTTTAATTTTTTCAATAAGACCATCTTTCTTACACTGTTCTTCAAATTCTTCTCTTGTGATTTCAATGGAACCGTCAAGTTCAGTAGAAATTGAGTATAAATCAATTGGAGAATAACTTACATTTCCAGAGAATGATTTCTTGATTTCTTCAGCATTATTTCTTATTTGTTTCATTATTTTGGACTTCTTTTTTTTGGTTGCTTTTGTATCAGAACTCTTTGAAACAAAGAGTTTTTTGAATGTACTATCATCTACACTCTCTTTGATTTTATTAAGAATGACTTTAATAAGAGAGTCATCAAAATTATTTCCACCAAGATTAAGATCACTTTCATTCCACACACATTCAGTAGTTTTTATTTCATTTAGAAGATTTGGTTCTTCTTGTTTTATGACATCCTTTAGTTTTATTGTTATTTCACTATTCCAGTTTCTGCTTATTTCAGAGGTATTAAATGTGAATGGTTTGTTTTGTTGTAACACTGTAAGAGCAGAATTTGTTATTTTGTCAATACAATTAGACAAATACCTTTTTGTTTGTATTGTCTTAGGAAAGTTATACCATTTTTCTGGTTCAAATAAATCCAAGATGCGTGGATTTGTTTTTTGTGTTTCTTTAACTTTCTCTAAAACAATGTTTCTAATTTTTTCAAAATCTAGTTTTTTACATTTTGGCATTTCGTATCCATGTGTAATGCAACAAGCAACATCTGTTGTTCCTCCTCCACAATCAATAACAATGATTTTCGATTCGTCTTTCAAGTGATGCTCTCTTTTATATTCCAATATTGATGCAAATGGTTCTTCTAATAAATAGACATCTTCAAATCCTGCCATTTTACACGCTTGAATTGTTTCTTTCTTTTGTCTTGGAGTAAAAGAAACAGGAACAGTAACAACTACTTTCCCTACCTTTCTACTATAATTTTTTTGAATAAATATATTATACAATGTTCTAAGAACTAAAGTTGATACTTCAATTGGATAAAAACTTTCTATTTTTGATGAGTCAAGAGGATCTTCAACACACATCTTTATTTCATCCTTCTCTGTTGAAACGTCAAATGAAGTAAGTGATGGTAACAGCCCTTTTTGTTGCCTGTACCGTTTAACTGTTTCTCCAATTAACCTTTTAGAATCATGAAGACAAATACTACCATTATTTTTTGCTCTAATACCAACGTTGTACTTTTTTGTTCCTCCACTTCCTTTAAATATTTCAACCCATGACGGTACTGAGAATTCATTATTTGATATTTGCAGTACTTCTACTGGGTTTGTCTCATTTTCTAAATATATTGCAATGGATGAATATGTTGTTCCTAAATCTATTCCGATATGAACAGGAACTTCGTTTAGTTGTTGTAAATCCATAATAAGTCATATAGATAATAAGTTCTTTAAAAAAGGTAATAAACATCATTTAATCTTTTAAAGAAATTTTAAGATCTATAAATCATTTATAAAAAATAAATTTAGATAATAACAATAAAAAGTTAAAAACAAAAATCACAATAATTGTTATTCTTTATTTTACAAAATTATTAAAACAAAAATTAACCAAAATGAGAAGTAAATTAAACGCTTAGAAGCATTTTCTGTGGACAATAGCTGGTCCTGATTCATCATATTCTTCTTTGGTAATCCACATATTTTGGAATGTAGAAAGTGATGCAAGAATTGATCCTCCAATCCAAACTGAATATTTTCTTTCTGGTGGGGCAATAACCTTAATCTTCATTGTTGGTGGTGCTAATTGAATCATTTCCTTTTCAAGTCTGGTGTTAATACCTGGATACATTGATGTTCCTCCTGAAAGAACAATATTTCCATAAAGATCCTTTCTAATATCAACATCACATTTCATAATTGAATTGTAGGTAGTTTCATGAATACCATTACATTCCATACCAAGGAATGATGGTTGGAAGAGTGCTTCTGGGCATCTGAATCTTTCATTTCCAACTGTGATAACTTGTCCATCTGGAAGTTCATAGCTCTTTTCAAGTTCACTGCTTGATGCTGCTTTTTGCATTTCTTCATTGAAATCTTCTGCAACATAGCAAAGTTTTTCTTTAATATCTCTAACAATTTCTCTTTCTGCAGTAGTAGTGAATGCATATCCTCTTTCAGTTAAGATTTTCATAAGATAATCAGTAAGATCACGTCCTGCAAGATCAAGTCTAAGAATAGCATGTGGAAGTGAGAATCCTTCATAAATTGGAACAGTGTGTGAAACTCCATCACCTGAATCCATAACAATACCAGTTGTTCTACCTGATGCATATAATGAAAGAACTGCTTGAATTCCAACATACATAGCTGGGGTATTGAATGTTTCAAACATAATTTGAGTCATTTTTTCTCTATTAGCTTTTGGATTCATTGGTGCTTCAGTTAAAAGAACTGGATGTTCTTCTGGAGCAACTCTAAGTTCATTATAGAAAGTATGATGCCAGATCTTTTCCATATCATCCCAGTTGTTGACAATACCATGTTCAATTGGATATTTAAGTGTAAGAATACCTCTCTTTGATTGTGCTTCATCTCCAACATATGCATCTTTTTGACCCATACCAGCCATAACTGAAACATGTCTTGGTCTACCAACAATGGATGGGAATACAGCTCTTGGAGCATCATCACCAGCAAATCCGGCTTTACACATTCCAGATCCATTATCTACAACAAGTGCTTGAACTTCTTCGTCTCCCATGTTTATTTAATGATTATTTCAGTTTGATATGATCTTTAAATACCTGGTTTTTGGAGTTCACTCTTTATTAAACTCTAAAGTTCTCCCTTTTTTATATTTAGTTCAACTCCTTTTTTATTGTTTTTTAGTTCATTCAAATCTGTTAGTTAAATTTTTTTTAAATTACAGTAATACTTTCTCGAATAACCAATTTATACTTAATTTTAATTTATAAGTTCTTTTTTATTTTATTTTTCTAACCCAAAAATTTGAATAACACAATATATCAAAAACAATTATTTAGTAGTAGTTAGAATGTCCAGAGCATTGTTACAATTCTTTCATTGAATAAACAACAAAATCAGAAATGAAATAAAAATTTATTTCAATGTATGGAATAGTGTGCTGCTTTTCTTTAACTTAGACACTCGCCTTTCTATCAATAAGGTATAACATAATCCAAAATAGTTTTTATTTAAATAAAATGAATGTGATAGAAAATTTAATAAGCTTCTTTCTATAAGTTATTTGTTAATTAATAAATAGAATAGTACCAAAGAAATACCCAAATAATTGCCTAAATGATTAATTACTCACTAATAAATTAATTTAAAAAGTGTTTTGACACTCTATCTTTTTGTGGTTGTAATCACTTTTTTCCATTAAGTCTTTTCGTGAAAAATAACAATCACTACTTTTATTTCCTGTTATAAGTCATTAACCGAGAATAAACACGATAATAATCAATTAAGAAGAATATAATAGAATAAGGGAGTTTCTTGTTTTCAAATGGTTTTCAAATGGTTTTCACTCAAATTTTTATTAAGATACAACATAAAAGAATATTATATCTTCTCTTCTTTTTTTTTGTATTTTCTTCGTATTTTTTAACAAAGCTGTTTATGAACAGAAAAATACTTTGAATCTTACTTAATAAACTTTTTGAGCCCCCCTATTTGAACTAGATTTTGTGAAGAATCTTTAATCAAATGTTTAAGAACCAACTTACGTCCACAGTATGTCAAAGACAAGGAAATAGAACTCCTGAATGCTTTAAAAGGGTAAGAGATTTAGAGACAAAACAAGAATGCTTTCTAATTGGTTTGCTTCAATTAAAATATAATGTTATTTGTGAACGACCATATAAATTCAAGATAAAGTCATTACCTTTCTTCAAAGTGAAGACTCTTTATAATGTTTATGAATCTATTGATGTTCAAAATTTAACTAATGAAAGAGTAAAAACATTGGTAGATAAAGATAGAGCTGATAATGTAGACGAAAAGACAATTAGAAGAAGAACAGAAGTTTATAGAATTTCTGAACATCTTCACGTTTTGATGGATATCCTAATAAACAATGGTACAAGTATAAAAACAAAAGAAAATAGACACACAACAATGGCTGATAGAAGAAATTTATATTCAATAACTTACGAAGGAATCAACTTTTCTAAAAAAGAAATAGTTGAAAAAGGAGGTTCAATTCACAGTTTAATAAGTGAAGAATTTACTAAAAAAAAGCCAAATTCTACTGGTTTATTACCATTATGTGATACAGAAATTATGTCTTTATTATTAAATTAATTTAAATAGTTTTTTTTCCTTATTTATCTTTTTTTTATTTGTTATGTTTATTTATAAATTTCTCTTTGAAATCAGAATCTATTATTATTGCTTTTAATTTGACTGTATTTAATTTTCACAACCTCCCTACTTGTCCTCTGATTATGACATTACATTTGGTTAGGTAATATCTCGATTAATGCTGCAAAGATTACACTGATTATTATTTATTATGATAAAATATCATTTATTATAGTAAAAGATTGTGTACTTATAAAGACTGTAGTACTATTTACTGTTATGAAGTAATTGTATTTGTTAGTGAGCTGAGGGTATTGTCAAATGAAATTAGATCTATTTGTTGTTGAAGCTAAATGAAATTACTTATAAATGTAATGGTAATGATATAATCATCATAAAATAAGAAATTAAAGAGTGATGAGTTAATACATATTAAATTAAAATAAAGATGAAGTAGTTAGTTGAATGATGGTTAATTAAGATGAAGACATCTGAAAAGATTTTTTTTCATTATAAATGAATGAATGAGGAAATAGAATTTCTGTGTTCTCAACAAAATAAAGAGCTGGACAACATATGGATAATGATTAAGTACTCTTTCTTATGGAAAATAATTGAGATCAGTATCACCTGAATAAGAGTCAATAGAAAATAACTATATCACATCAATTAACACTTTTTATAATACTCATAATTTATTCAATCTCTTTTTCCTATTTTACTTTTTTTTTAAAAATTTTACTTCACATATTTTTAGTTTTTAACTTTGATATTGTTACCAAAAGAGAAAATTTATTAATTTTTTTTAAAAAGAAAACTGGAAGTATGATATTTTTGATAAAAATTTATTTGTTCTTTTCTGAAAAAAAATTTATATGTTTTAATTTGTTTTCAGTCTTAGAATAGTAAGAAAGAATATAACTGTCAATAACTTATTATTTTTTTTTTCTATTGAAATAATTAAAATATTACCATAAGTAAACTTACTATTTTAAATTATGATTCTGAATGAATTTTGGTTTATTCAAAAAGAAGAACGATATCATTACAATTATTTTGTATAATGTATAATCAGTTTAAAAGTAAACATAAAAGACAAATAAATCTTTTAAATGAATGTATTATTAGGACTTTTTTGATTAAGGTATAATAAATAAATTGGTTTTTTTTAATAAAATTTAATAAAAGAGATATTTCAAATTGTTATATTTGTTGAGAACAAAAAAGAGATATTGTATTGCTGATAAATGCTTATACTATTACTCTTTCTCTACTTTAACATCTCTAATGTCACTGGGAGAAATTTATGTTCCGGAAGTATTTACATCAATTTTTGATTATTTTAGATAATTATTATAATTTAAACTACATAACAAAGATTAAAACAACCATAGACAAATACAATAAAAATAGAAAAAATAAAGAAAAAAAATTACAACTTATAGAATAAAAAGTTAAAACACTTAACTAATATATCAAGATAAGAAGAGAAATATATTGTATGATATTGTTTGATTGTATAGCATATTGATGAATAAAAGAATAACTTATTAAAAATAATTTAACATTTTACCATTCAATCTAAATTAAGAATTATTATTTTTGCGTATTTTATTTAATATTATTTTAACTTTAGTTAATTCTTCTTTTTTTGTGGAATTTATTATTAAAAGTATTTCACTTGAAAATTATTAACACTTATGGTTTATTTTGTTTTACTTTGGAATTACAAAGAGTTATTTTTTATTAAAATAGTTAATATAAAAATAACTTAGTGATATTAATATAAATAATTAAAAAATAACAAGTTTATTCTTCATTATTTCTCATATATACTTTTCATTAAAACTATTAAAAAATTATATTCTAAATGGACAAAAACAGTTTACATACAAAAAAATATTCTTTGATTTAATGTCTTTAAAAATACATTAATTAAAGACATATTATGGTATAGTATTTTTTTATTATTGAAGAACTAAAAATTTTTAATTTTATCAATAGAATCAATGTTCCTCAGAACATATTTTTTTTGCATAACTCTATTCTATTTTATTTATTTTCTATTAAAACTGTTTGAAGTATTATTATATTTTGAAAAGTAACCAAATCTTTGTACTGTCATAATAATAATAGATTTATTTTATAATTTTTTATAATTTAATAAAATTAAACTATCTCTTTAATTTCATCTCTAACTCTATGACCATAATCTTATTTTCTAAGAATTAATAGAGCACTGGTTTCTTTTAGTATATCCCATTACATACTCTTAATTCATAAACACTTTAAAAGAATACCCTTTTTGAAAGTCTTGTTTGAATTATTAAAATTTTTTGTATTATGATTTAAAACTTCTTAGTTTAAATCGGTTAAGAAATTAACATTTGAAATATAAACAGAAAGGGTCTAGAGAATAAATAAATGGTTATATTTATAAAACATAAAAACTAACCCAAGAAAAAAGTCAATTAAGATATATCCACAATTAGATTTTCTTCATTTGAGAAGTGACTATTTCAGCTTCTTCAATATGCTCTACTTCTATTATAGAGTTCATTTCCAACATGCTCACATTAACATAAAAAAAAAATCAAAGAAATAAAATTTAAAATGAAAAAAATAAAAATATAATAAAACATTTTCTAAAAAATTTAACAGAAACTTAGATTATTTAAATCATTAAAAAGAAAATTAAAATATAAGAGACGATAACTTAATTCAATAAAAGGATTGAGGCAATACTTTAATATTCAAAAATAAATAAATTGAATTAAATAGAAGAATAATGTAGTAAAATTATTAAGTTATAATAAATGTTTTATAATAACAACTAGTTTAAATAAATAAATTCAAAAATTTTAATTTAATAACAATTTGAAAATATTATTTAATTTATTTTTCTTTATAATTTTATATATCTTTTTATTTTTTGTTTATTTTATTCTATTTTCTCTTTTTAATTATTCATTAAAACTATAAGAATATAATAAAATATTATAATTAATAATTCATCTCAGTTATCTGTTGATATCACATTTTTTGGCTTGTTTCATACTTAATCATTATTTAAAGAAATAAAAGAACTTAAGAAACAAAAAAGTGTTCTACACATGGAAGCTACCAAAGAAACAGAAATTACACCAAGTGTTGAAAAGAAACCTGTTGAAAAGAAGTCACAAGAAAAAAAACCAAAGAAAGTAACTGAAAAGAAAGCAAAGTCACATGACGATGAAGGAAGAAAAAATACTCTTTCTAAGAAATCAGGTTTACAATTCCCAGTTGCTCGTATTCATGCTGCTCTTAAAAAAGGAAGATATGGAGAACATATTAATAAAATGGCATCAGTTTATTTAACAGCTGTTATTGAATATCTTGTTGCAGAAGTTTTAGAACTTGCAGGTGGACAAGCAAAAGATTTCCACAAAACAAGAATTACTCCAAGACATATTCAACTTGCAGTTCGATCAGATCTTGAATTAAATGATCTTCTTAAAGATGTTACTATTTCATATGGCGGAGTGTTCCCTAATGTCCCAACTGCTGTTAATTCAAAAGGAAAGAAAAAACCAGCATCATCACAAGTTGTTTAAACTTTAATTTATTGTTTACAATTTAATGTTTTAATTTTTATGTTATAAAGGAAGTAATCTGAAAGTATGCTTCTAAAATAAATCATAACTAAAATAAGTAAACGTATCATTAAATTCTTTATTAATTAGAATAAAAGAAAGATGATTATACATGACAACCAACTAGATCGTGGCAAAAACTAGACAAATGATTTATGAAAACCCTATAAAAACCCTAAAATTAAATAATTAAATAAAATGGCAACAGAACAACAAAAACAACCAGAAATTATTACACTTTCAGCTGATAAATCACAAGTTACTGAAGTTCAAAGTCTTTGTGTAAATTGTTACAAACAAGGAACAACACGACTAATGTTAACAGAAATCCCATATTTTAGAGATATTCTTCTTGCACATTTTCAATGTCCATATTGTCATTACGAAAATACAGAAGTTGAACAAACATCACCAATTCAAGACCATGGAATGAAATTTACTCTTAAAGTAGAAAATATTAAAGACCTTTCAAGACAAATAGTTAAGTCTGATCATTGTTCAATTAATTTCCCATCAATTGGATTTGAAATTCCATCAACAGCTCAATCAAGCAGTTTAAATACATTAGAAGGATTTATCGAAAATTCAATTGAAGCAATGAACTCGATTCTTGTTCAACTTATTCCAACAGGAGATGATTATAAAAAAATTAATTCGATTGTGGAATCATTAAATAAAATGAAAAAAGTAGAAGAGCCATATATAGTAGAAATTGATGACCCTTCAGGAAATTCTTTTGTTCAAAATCTTTGTGTACCAAAAGAAGACCCACAAATTAATACTGTTGTTTATATTAGAAACTTTGAACAAAATAAGGCCATTGGTTTAATTGCTGAAAACCAAACTGAAATTACACCAGCTGATATTGACTATGATGATAAAACTTCACGTCAACTTGTTCCTGAGCATAAAAATACTGCTGCGACAAGAACTGGATTACCTGATGCTATAGATCAATCTACCATCCCATCATCAAATAATGATATAGCAGAATTAGATGAAATGTGTCAATCATGTGGGCATATGGCAAAAGTAAGAATGTTAATTACTCAAATTCCTTATTTCAAAGAAGTAACTATCATGGCATTTTCTTGTGACACTTGTGGATATAGATCAAATGAAGTAAAATGTGGTGGTCCAGTTTCACCTAAAGCAAAAAAATTAATCTTTAAACCAAAAGACGTTGATGACCTTTCAAGAAGTTTCTTAAAGTCTGATACTGCTTCAGTTGAAATTCCTGAAATTGGAATTGAATTGCAACCAGGAACATTAGGAAGTAAATTCACTACTGTTGAAGGTTTTATTAAAGACTTAGCTGATAACTTTGAAAATATGCCATTTTTACATGGAGACTCAGCTGAAAAAGATCAAGAAGATAAAGTTGATGCTCTTATTGATAACTTAAAAAAAATGAGAAAAATGGAACTACCTTTTACTCTTATAGTTGATGACCCTATGGCTAATTCATATATTCAAGACCCATACTATCCTGAAAAAGATCCATGTTGTGAAGAATTTGACTATGAACGTACAAATGAACAAAATGATGATTTAGGATTGAATGATATGGTCGTTGACTAAATTAATTATTTTAGTTAAAAGAAAATTTTTCAATTAACTAATTCTCTTAATTTTATTAATAAATTATGGTTTTATTCTTTTAACTGAATAATAATAAAAATAATTATTAAAATATAATTATAAAAAAGTGAAAAAATAAAAAAAACTAAATAATTAATAGTTAAAAGAAGAATGAATTATGAGCAAATTGTTATTGAGTATTATACAACACTTGATAACAACAAGAGAAATAATGCTAAAAGTCAAATTATAGAAAAAATTAATAAGGCTGAAGATATAGAACAATTAACTTTTTTGTTAACCAATTCTCATAATCAATATGTCTTAGCCTATGCATGTTCAATACTGTCTGAGGCTATGCTTAATAACTCAAAACTATTTATTGGTAAATCTCTTTTCTTTCAAACAATTGCATTAAAACTTTATTCATCTGCTTCGTTAAATGATGGGGCAATAAAAAATTTAGCTTCAAAGTTCTTTGCTTCATGCGTTATTGGATGTTGGCAAATAGAGCATAATACACAAAATTTAGTAAATACATTAACTGAATTAGAATCAAATAAATATAGTCTTTTTGCTGACATAGCCCTGACTTTAATAGAAGTTTGAATCTTTTTTAATTATGAAATTATGAGAAATTTACCAGTAGACATTTCGTTCATACCAAGACAAACCTAATTTCCCTAAAAAAATTATTGCAGATTTTAGAAATGGAGTGTTGATGGTTATTGCTAAATTAGCTATTAAAAATATTCAAATAAAAAATCCTGGTGCTGTTGATATTCTTGAGAACGTCATGTTTGTTTGTAACGTTACTAAAACAGATGAAACAGATGAGACATCTACATTTTGTCCAACTCCAGAATTTCATAAATTATTTATGGAATCATTAGATAATATTATTCAACAAATACCAACAACATTACCTTTGATAGATCGAATGTCATGTATTCGATCATCATGTTTTTATGATTCAGATAATTTTGAAGGATCAAGAGAGTGGTTTGTTCAGAAAATTATGAAAGTAGTTGAATTTTGTTTTTACCCATCAAATAATATTTCATTACTTTCTATTGGAGCTAAGATATTAGTTCATCTTCATACAACACATCCACTTCATAACTATGTAACTCAAGAATTTATTGATAAAGTTGCTCAATGTACAATAGTTATTGCGTGTAATGGAGATGACAATGCATTATATGACATCTTAAGATTTTGGGGAATTTATTCATTATATTCAAGTATTGATCCATCATCAACTGATTGTCTCACTTCTATTTTTTGTAGACTAGTATTATCTGAACATTCAAATGAATTAACAAGTCAAGAAGGAAGCCATTTTGGTACATTTGCCCGTAATGGATTAACTGTACTAATAAGTATGTATGATATTTTATTAACATACCTTACAACAGATTCAATTACAATTCCAACATCACAAGTTTCTTTTATACAAAAGTTATATAATGCTATCCAACAAGCAAAAAGAGATAGAACTAATTATTTTGGAATTTTATCTAATTTGTTTCTTATTGCAGGTAACATAATTTCAGGAAGAGACTCAACAAGTCCAACGTATGTTTCAGTATATTCAGGATTTGCATCAAAGATATGTACAATTTGTAAATTAGTTACTGAACAAATAATTAAATCAACTTTCGATAAAAATGAAGAAGACTCAGCATATGTTAAACTTCAAATATCAATTTTAACATTTTATAAAGCATATATTGTTAGTTCATTATGGGATGACTCAAAAAATTATCGGTTTGATGGGATGTTAGTATTGTATCAATCACCAAGTCAAAATGGAATAGAATTTTTTATAGATATGGTAGGAATCCTTTTTACATTAATTCCTTATTGGAACGGAAATTATAAAGTGTTAAGTGAAACAATGAAATTATTAGCAAAATTATTAAGTGCAAAAGAATATGCACTTCGTTTAATTGAGAGACCTCCACTAAAATATTTATTTCAAACAAATGCATTTACAACTATTGATGGTATTCAATTAAAAAATACTAAAGAGTTAATAGAAATTAGAACATTATATTTCACTTCATTAGGAATGTTATTATACAGTCTTCCAAGTAAATTTCATTTACAATTTTTAACTCAATTTTTAAATCCTCATACTTATCAGTTAGTTGATATTAGGGCAATAGTAAAAACATCACACTCTTCTGTTGAATGTATACCACCTATATTTGAGCATATTTGTGCACATAAAGATATTTATTTAGCTCTTCCTAATGAACCAGTAAATGGAGAAAATTGGTATTTTTCATTAAAATTAATAAAACAAATTTCTATAGCAAGAGACTTTCGATATAATTATGCACCCGAATGTCCAACTGCATGTATACTGTTCCATAGTATGTCAAGATTATTAACAATGTTTTCACAAACTTCTATTCAACAATCATCAATGATAATGAGAAATACTAAAACAGTAGAGTTTGACGCATTTATAAAAAATGCTACTGTTGGATTAGCAACGTCTGTGTGGATGTTACAAAATAGCCATATTAACTTTGCAGCATTTAAATTGTATAATGATAATACTGTGTCACTATTAATTAACTCAATGTGTGAACTTGCTATGATGTTAGAAAGTGTAGTAGAAGTATATCCTAAAACAAAAGAAATTTTATTTGCTTTTGTAGAAACTATTTCAAAACAAGTAACGTCTTTACAGTTAGAAAGTAACAAGGTATTATTTATTATTAAATGTGCTATAATTGCATTAAAACAAAAAAAAGTAAGTTCAATCGTAATGGGAAGTTCGACAATAGAAAATATGTTATTTGATTCATTTAAGAATAGAACAAAGAATCCGTACTGTGTCCAATTATTAAATGCTGTAGAACCTTTAATAGGAGATATTCTCTTTAATGTCTTCGATAATTTATTCAATGAATTTGAAGCATGGACCTTAGAAAAATTAGTTTTTGGTATCATGGTTATTTACCCAGAAGTTTATACTCAAACCCAATACAGAATTGCTATGGAAATTCATGAAAGTAAAAATAGAGAAAAGTTTCTTTCATTTTTCCAGTCTATTACTTTATCAAATATTTCTGACTTAGACGTAATACAAAAAATAGATTTTGATTCCAGACTTCGTTCCTTTGTTGCTGAAATTAAACCGTTATACCACAATAATTGTTTTGAATAAAATAAATTTATTTGTTTCACATTTCTTTTATTTTCTTTTTTTATAATTTTTAGGTTTAAATAAAATTTAATCCTTTGTATTATTTTTAAACTCATTAACAAAGAAATATATCGTTATTTGTTATTAAGTAAATTAAATACCTTTTGAAGACAATTTTATTGATTAAAACTAATTATATTTAACTATAGACAATTAAATTATTTTTATAATAATTTATATAAAATAAAATTAATAGTAATTAATTCAATTATCTTAAAGTTTCTTTCCTTCTTCAACCTTTTCAGCTCTTTGTCTTTCAAGATCTTTCTTCATTGGTCCCATACGTGCTTTCTTTTCGGTGGTAGTTTGGAATCTAGAATGTCCGTATTTAGATGATGTATCAATGAATTTAAGAACAATTTGTTCTTGAGCTGTTCTAGTGGTTGATGGGAAGCATGCTTTTCTTAATGAAATAACTCTTCTTCTAATACCAGCTACTGTTCCTTTGATCATCAAGAAGTCATTCTTAACAACTCCGTAATGTGGGAATCCTCCCATTGGAGTAATACCTTTTTCTGTAATATCAAATTCAGTTTTAGCGTTCTTAAGATCACCACATCCAAGTCTGTAAATCTTTTTGTTAACTTCAGTTCTCTTGAAGAATCCCATTTGACCAGCTCTAGCAACTGTCCATGAGACTCTAGCTGGATGCCAAGCTCCAACACAAGCAACTTTTCTTAATCCTCTGTGGGTCTTTCTTGGAAGATGTCTTACACCAAATCTCTTAATAACACCATTGTATCCATGTCCTTTAGTAACTGAACATACATCAATACATTCATCAGTTCCAAAGACTGAGTTAACACTAATTTGTTTTTCAAGAAGTGAGACAGCAAAATCAACTTTTTCAGCAATTGATCCTCCATTAATTTGAATTTCCATAACTTCAGCTTTCTTTTGTTTTAATGGAACAAGTGCCATTTGAGTATGTGCAATTACTCTAACAACATCACATCTATTCTTAATTAATCTAATTTGTCTTTCTCTCTTTGATTTAGCTTTTACATCATTATATTTTTCAGTATGAACAGCAAATTGGTTTTTAGTATTTTTATACCATTTCTTAGTGTATCTTCTTTTGAATTCATCAGCAATATGTTCAGCAAAAACAGCTGTAATTGGTTTAAGTCCAGTAGTAGTCTTTTTATATCCAACAAATCCTGCAACAACCATTGGTGGTGTTTCAATAATAGTAACTGGTTCTAAAACTCCATCTTTTGGAAGTTTAGTGTTGGTTCTCTTAACTTCACGAATAACATGAGTCATACCAGCTTTGAATCCAAGGAATCCAGTAAGATGTGGTTTTTCAGCAGCATTATCTTTTGGGAAAGCAGAGACAGTAGCTCTTACTT